ATGGGGACACGCGACTGACAAATATATATATATATATATATATATATATATATATATATATATATATATATATATATATATATAAAATTTCAACAACACAGGAACAATTCTAAATAAAATCAAAAACTTCACTCAGCTTACTATCAACAATGGTTCAACACTAATAATTTATTCAACACTAACCATCAAAATGGCGACAACTCTAAATAATCTTACTATAATTTCTAGGTTTTACTCAACGACATAGAATTAAATCAAAATAACAATAATTGGATTATGACGGACACTTGCGTTTCGCTTGTAATACTGATGGTAACTAGCGACGTCCGTGTTTTAGTTGGGGAGGAGTGGGGCTTCCTCGTTCGACAAATGGAGCTTTTGGGATCATCTAACGTTGAGTTGTATAACTATTTTTAAATCTGTTTTATTGGTCACTAGGACTCATCTACTTATTTTAATAGGGACCTTATTTTACGGCAATGTCTACAACTGGACTAGATTTAGTTGCGCCTAATCCAAGGCTTTGTTTAACAAAAACTCTACTTCAAACACACGTTTGTTCCGGTACTCAGCAACGTTATACCGAAAAATATTGGCACGGCCTGTGTAAAGCATAAGCAGTGCTGTCGTCCACATAGCAATGAATGTTTCTGGTTTACAAAATACCATTAATATTTAGGAAAAATAGTACATAACACCAGTATTAATAGGCCTGTAATCGGTTAGTGTACCTACGTCTACTAGGACCTTGTTGCTATAATCTGCAAGAAAACGGTTGATCCAATTGCACAATAATACCGTGGGAGTTGACACTGCGAAAATAATACAGTAAATAGACAAATAGTATGTTCCTGGTAACGGCTCAAAATAAAAATCACTAACCTAGTCGAAAATTTTTCTTCCAGTAGACTTCAATCGCGCAAGTTCTTCTTTGCTCACTACTTAGATATAAAAGTTAATGACAGCCTCGTTGCTCTCGTGGCGGGAAATGCGATTGCTAATCAAGTGTTTCTGGGTTTAACCAGGGTTTAGTCCTTGGTCACGTCTGAATCTGCTATTGGGTTTTTCTGACAAGAAACTCAATCGCAGCCAGCAGTCAGTCGATGTTATCTATGTTTCAACCCTCTTGCCCCTGAAAGCAATTTAAGTTATTTGTTGGTCCCGCCAGATTTATTTTCAGTCGTATTGGATATCCATACCATAGGAATATGTAAGTTAGGGGAATAGAGAGTGCACTTGTGTTAGCGTATACTAACCTTTTACGTAGTAGATCCATGCTACAGCTATATTATTGTTGTAGCACAAATGAGTTGGCTCGACAGGGGTAGGACCACGCTCTCACAGAATACTACCGTAAAATAGCAGCTTGATGCTGCTGTGTTTCATATGGTTAATAGAGAGAACCCATTTTACTGCGTATTCGTATTATTTCTGAGGGGTTGCAATTAATCTACACGAGTAAAAATATATAATTGCGCTGTCTACGCGCAGTCATAGGGTGGACAGATCCGTACGTTCAAGGCTGTTGAGACGTCGAAAACATACGTCCTCTCTGACGTACACGCAAACGGTTAACAAAGGAGTGTTCTAATTTGTACCCCGGGTTGGAGAAATGCAAAGCATCGGCTGGAGAGGTCACCTGTGCCTCGGTCAGCAAGAGCAAGGCTGGCTCCGCAGTTTCCAGATGGTAGTAGATGACGTTAAATTTTAAATGAAGTCCCCTGATGTTGCAGAAATTCACGAATAGCGTGGCGCTTTTGTCTTATTGCTCCATTTGACCTTAGCAGGTTTAGTCCCAGGCGGAATTTTGCCCACCCCCTCAAAATACGTGGTGTAGCCTGAGCACCCTCATTGGCCAATCATCCACGCCCAAGAATGGGCGTGGATGATTAGCAAAGGATTCTACGTCACCAGGAGTGCTGGTACCCTCCTGTGGTAGTGTTCTATTTTAACTACGCTAACATTTTAAGGAGATGGGGGGGAATCGGACCTCCGGGCATCTTCATTCACCAGACGGAATGCAAAAGCAGAGCTTCTACTTCATGCCAGTCTTGTGTGAGGTCATGGTACCCGGTCGTGGTCGTGGTACGTGATACCCCGGTTCGAGACGGTGCAACAGCAAAAGCTGCCGCGTGGCTCTACCACTGTTTTCAAATTTGTGGGTGTTACGGCCTCCGCGGTGGCTATATACCTTCAGATTTTAGTCGCTTATAACTAAGAAACCAACATTGTCTTAATGATATAACAACTTAAGAGCACACTTGATCATGTCTGTAAAACATTTTAGCAGAGCAGAGAAAAAAAGGTTGACAAGAAATAAAATAGTCCTCCTTATGTCGAAACATGTTATGATTTTTTGCTGGTTGTTGACGATTCGACAATTTCTTCATTTGGTATAAAGGCCAAGGGAACTTACAGAAACGTGACTTTTGGTAGTCATAGAAAACAATGAATTCCGACGTTGAGAAATAATGGTTTACCCAGATTGCTATTATGGTTAACAAAACATGACGTACGTATGATAAGTACATGTTAAAACGTCATTGTATTTTACCCAATTATTTAATTCCATTTTTGAGTTTAATAATATACTTTAACTTCATTGTTCGATAAAGTTTTAATTTCTTTTACTTCCCACTAATATTCTGTTACTGTTAAACAAAAACCGGCAATAACGTAGGTATCAAACTCAATTTATTTAAAATTTACGTAAGCAATATAGTCAAATCTGAATGGTCACATAAAAATTAATGGAAAATCAAAAATACGATTTAAGTGGCAAAAAATTGTCTTAACTTAAGACAGGAAATGTAGTTTTAATCGCTAAGTTTATTTCTTCATTAAATTGTATGATTTAAGTGGTATGAGTTTTTAAAATTTTGGAACGCTATATTTGAGATATATGTATATAGATGACAACTTTTTTTGAGTAACACAATGTTGAATATTATGAAATGTTAACATTGTTGACATTCATATTGTAATTAGTTTTGCTTCTAAATAACATGCACTAAAAAATTTTTCCTGTCGTAGATATTTTTATGGACACAACCTATTTACATAATTTATATGTTAATATTATGGCAGTTTTACAAACTTTATCCAGTGGTCTTACGTACACTTGTGGAAAAGTCTTTTATAGTGTAAAATTTTAAGAGATACTATAAAAGACTTTTATATAAGAGTCAGATAGAAGAGTCCAATAGATGTTAGACCGTTCGGCTATTCTAAGAGCTTGATAAAATAGGAAATTGTCTATTATTTTTCAGGCTGCAAATACATACGTTTGTAATACAACAAATCAATGCAATCGATATAGTTTCGTAGTAAATCAATCATAGTATGTGAACATAGCTGAAAATGTCTTCACAGAACTTCGTTATATTTTTACATTCAAATCACATTTGAAACCTTAGGTTTAATGATATTAGAATGATTTTTTATCAAACATTGGAAATAATAATAATAATAATAATAAATACTGCCGAGGGCTTCCATCTGGTTGGATCTTTATGTATTTATGTATTTTTTGTATTCATTTTATTTCATTGATATTTATGGATATTTTTTCATTTTAATTTATAATTATATATTTATAAAACCCAACCAGATGAGAAAACTATACAGATATCCCAATAATAATAATAATAAAGTAAATAGTATATAATAATAATATATCTGGACGTGGCTCACGAGGTGACCGACATGTGGAGTGGTCTACCGGCCGAAATTATTCCTGTGGTCGTCTCTGCGAATGGGCTAATCCCAGTCAGCCTCTCGGGTCATCTGAGGCGACTGGGACTCCGTGACAGACCGCTCCAGGCTCAAATGCAGAAGGCGGTGCTCCTCGATACCACCCGCATCGTCCGCCGGTTTCTCTCCCTTTCCTCCTAACCCTCGACCGTTTGGTCTCCCCTGCCGGAGGCTTCCATCTGGTTGGATCTTATTTATTTATGTATTTTTTGTATTCATCTTTATCTTTTCATTTTAACTTAAAATTATGTGTTTATAGAACCCAACCAGATGAGAAAATCATATAGATACCCCAAATAATAAAGTAAATAGTATATTTATCTTTTCATTTCCTGTAATTCTACTACATTCTAACCAATTTATGGACTCTTGTCTGAAATAAAGTTTATTATTATTATTTAATAATTATATACCTATTTATGGAAACCAACCAGATGAGAAAACTATATAGATCCCCCCCATAATAATAACTGGCGTAGGGAAGTGACGACCCCACCGCCCGCTGACGTAACAAAACCGCTACTTCAGCGCAGTCAGTCAGCACCTCGCCAAGAGGTGTTAGTGCCGTGCCTCGGCAAAAATTGAAGGTGCAAAGGCCCGCTTGTGCACATGGCCCAAAATGCAATGGCGCCGAGTCTGGGCGTCGTTAAATGACGCCCACAAAAATGAATGATGGATTTGACTAGAATGCGCAAAGGGCCGCTGCCTGGAGGTCGCCAGGGCACGTCTGGAGCTGGCGCTGGACGCGACAGCATGCGAACCGCCAGCCGACGAGCACGAGGACCCAGCAGCAGCACGACCACCCAGCAGCCCCTCGCATCCATCACCCTCACCAGCTGGTTTGGTGTCGGCAGGGTCTTCGCGGGACCAGCAAACGGCACCCGCCACTGGTGGAGCACGTCGCATGGGTTGGACAACTCAAATGAACAGCAACGCATTGCGGCGTATTTTAGGGCGAAAGGAGGAGAAATTGGAGGTTTTGCGTATCGAGCAAGGATGCATCGAATTTTTGCTGAGCTGGAGCCATCTGTAACCGTCACAGAGCAAAACCTGGCAGACCGAGTTCGGTATATCTTGCGCTAAAATATATTTGATATCACCGAACTCGAACGGCTACGACTTGAAGCTGTTCTTTAATCGGATGAAAATGCTACGGCTGAGGATGCAGTGCCACAACTTGCAGAGCAACCGGCAAACGTGGATGCCGCCGTGAATACCCCAGTTTCGGTTGATTCAAACTGAAGCAAATGAGGGAACTGGAGCAAATGAGGAGTACATTGGATGAGGCGATTTTGGAAACGCGCAGTACGCCTCTCGAAAATCGACCGCGAACTTCCCCGCATAGCCCTAAGCAAGCGGAATTGGGCTATCGTGAGGGCTCCGAACCCAATGCTGGTGACCTATTTGGAAGCCATCTTTGCGAGACGGACTCAATTCTCTTTGGCGCCGCACTGGCAGTCTGCCGTATTAGAGGCGCCAAACTTTCCACGGCTGGATGCAATGCTAGACAAAGTAGTGCTATCCCAGTCTGGAGAACAAGAATTGAAGAACCTATCGCAAAGGTTAGGACCCTCATCGGCAGACTGATATACTTCAGGTCAGGCAATACCAGGCCAAGGATTGTGCGCACCGTTAGGATGGCGTTTGCTGGCTGGGACAAACTAACATTTGTCCCAGCTGGATATAATGCAAAAACTTACGGAGTGCATAGACGACCTGAAGCAGAGAATCGCTGCTTGGGGAAAGCGGATTCGGCGATATACCGAGAGGTCGACACGGTTCAACCAGAATCGTCTCTTTCAGAGTGATCACAAATGCTCTATAAATCATTGGAGCGACCAATGGTAAGTAGAACGGGCCCAATACCGAATCAGGCCGATACAATCGCTTCCTGGCGCAGCCTGTGGTCAGAGCCCGTAAACCACAACGAAGGCCTTTGGACGGAAGTTGTAGCGAGTCAGTGTGCGAGTATTACACCCATGGACCCCGTAATCATAACGCCGGACGACGTAGCTGAGGCGCTCCGTAGGGCCCCGAACTGGAATAGTCCGGGGCTTGATGGATTGCACGTTGCAATTGTCACGCTGTGCTCGCCCGACAGTTTCAAGAGGCTCTCAACCAGAATCGCTCCCGAGCCTCTTCACTACTGGGATCACTCTTTTGGTTCCTAAAGATCAGGGTGCCACAGAACCGAGCAAATACCGCCCCATAACGTGTCTACCGACCATATACAAGACACTAACATCCAATTTGAGCGCGAGAATCACTCGTCACCTGGACTCAAATTAGATGATGTCGCGCGACCACTTCTCATTGACGCGGTAATTGGCAAAGTGGTGAAACGCAACTGTCTGAACTTCTTCGCCGCCTGGAGAGATTACAGAAAGGCATTTCACTCAGTGCCCCATACATGGTTGAAGAGGCTCCTTGAGCTATACAAGATTGACTGCACAGTTCGAGACTTCCTTGAGCAGTGTATGGGACAGTGGAGTACGATTCTCTGACATCTAGGCGAGCGGATGACGGCTGCGGAAAGCTGCATAAGTATATTCCAGCGCGGCTTACTGAGTCCAACCTGGTTCTGCCTCACTTTGAACCCTCTCAGTACTTTACTGGAGGGCTCCGGGAGGGGATTTTAGCTTCGGAAAGAGGTACAAAAGTGAACCACCTTTTCTATATGGATGGCCTTAAATTATTCGCCTTCAGTCGCTCCCATCTTATGGAATTGCTAAACATCACTTGTGAATTCAGCAATTCTATTAGAATGGAGCTGGGGACGGATAAGTGTGTGGTCCTCCATGTTGAAAGGGGAAGAGGCCTGTGCCCAGCAGTAGGACGTATATAGGCCGTAATTTCAGAAGCAATTTAAGAAATATATTGTTGACTAAATTTTTTGAAGTCGATTTTTGTTTTTGTTCAAAGTTAATTACGAAATATTTTTTTACGTTTACACATTTTATGTTATTGTACGTTTTATGTCTGCTTCTAGGATAATGAACATAAACTTAACTAATATAAAGATAATAAAAATTATGTATTTATTTGTTTATGCAGATAAATTACATGAACATTCCGCTTGCCGTCAGCTTATTGTTTCATCTAATTGAATGTCTATAGAAATTCTTGCATAAATTATCTGCAGCTTTGTCAAAGTTTGTGCTGAGATATATCAGAGGTAAATTAATCCGCGTTAGAAATAATAAGTCAGAGTTTCATTTCTAAAACACGTTTGCTGTTGGAGGATATAGATAAAATTCATGCGTCAACAACATTTGGGCCCGATTTTTCTATCGTCAGATATAATTTATTCATAGAATGAAATACTATTTAAACAATTAAAAAATATAGTTATATTAATAAGTTTATTGTCATATCTTTCAAAATATCTTTCAAAACGAACACAGCCGTGGGTGAAGTGACGATCGGTAGCTAAAACAATTTAAACTGGTGTGTGTTGTTACTAATATTTTTTCAATTCAGGATAATGACGTTACAGCCCTCTTTCGATGTGGATAGTATTTGTTTAAACGCTCGGCGGGCAAATGGCCACTCGCAAAACCAAAACGCTGGAGGCTACTCCACTTCTTCGGTCTGAGTGTTTGAGCAATATGTCGCTAAATATTGAAAGTCATGATATCTTTTAAGGATTTCCCATAATCGCCTCTAGCGACACCCATGGGACGAAAGGGAACATGCTTGGACAACATGTTTAGTATAATACAACTATTACATACCCGTTTATGGTTTTGAAGTAAATAAATAGATATGAAGGTTGTGAAAACTCAGACGTACGTAAAGACCGTAACAGCTTATGAAATGTCTACTGCTAAGTAAATATTTTCCCTAGATTGCCCTTAGATTAGCATGTGTTATAGTTGCCATGGTTAGTAGGCTGGTTGTAAACGTAGTTTTTTTTTTAAATTGTTATTAGGAAGATGCTGCTGCCCATCTCCAGGATTGTTTAGTTCCTTCTGTTGCCCTTTACGATACCTACGTGACGTTAAGGGATAGTGGATATTCTTACAAAATTCAATTCAATTCAATTCAATTTAATTTCATCAATTCATTTCAATTCAATTTAGCGATTATTAACATTGTTTTCAATCCCTTTACATCCAATTGTTTATTATGTTATTTGTCAACCGGGCTTGTTAGATAATGGTAGGTAGAAAGGGCACCTGTCAAATTTTGTAAAAAAAAGATATATTAAACAGTAAAAATACATTAATAAGCATAAAGTTAAAATAAATACGTTTCAGGCATTAAGTATTATAGTAAATTAAGGGCTATATTTTATTTAAAAATCAATAAATTTTCTCTAAATTTTACACTGTATCTTACGGGAAAAAATTACGTGAGACCCGCTCTTTCCACCACTTGAGATTGGGTGAGATTCGGGTCAACCCCGTCTCCCCCTAAACACCTCACAGAATTGGTGGACGACCCCTTATATGAGACATAAAATACCAAGGCCAATAGCGGGGGCCGAAAAATAATTTTAATCTGCTTGCGAAGCTTGGCAGTTATAACAAAACGTGACGACACTGGAAAACGTCCATGACCAACAAACATCCTGGTTGGTACGAATACATCAACGTTACAAATGCAAATTATCAATTTCAATTTTAAGCGGTAATTAACCACGTGCTCAGGTAGTAAGAAAAACCATCAACACATACGTTTAAAATATTTCGATGTAAAGTCACAATGAAATACAGTCTCTTCCCTACCCTTAAAGCATTTTAAAAATAAGAGTAAGCCTGTGCCCAACATAGGGACATATTATGTAGATTGCAATATTGCAATTAATTAAGCGCATATAATTTATAAAATAATTCAATTTATAAGGCTGTGAATTTGAAATAATGTGGTGACGACTTTAGGTTTCGAAATACCATACATAGATGGCGTACGCACTACGAGATTGGTTTGCGTAGCCTTACATCGATGAAATGTCTGAATGTCTTGGTTAGATGAATTATACAGGGGAGTACTGTTTCTCGTAAGCTGTTTAATAAAAAAAATTGTATTTGTATGAAATCCTTTAATCAAAGCAAGAGTAGGTAAGATGATTATTTCACCATCTCTCAGAAACCTCATGATTTTCTGGCATTTTCCAAAGTCTGTACTATATATTAACATATGACGTAAAATACTTAGCTAAAAATGTTGCAGTGTATAAGTTTTTGCTGGTTTTCTCAGGGCACATTTTTCCCCAAAAGTAGTGAAAATTAAAAATGTCTATAAGTTTTACATAAACATCTAGCGACCCGATCCGGCTTTACCTAGACATGATTAATTAATGTGGCATTATTTAGATTTATAACATAACTACCAAAAAACGTTTTAAGTTATGAATTTTTCGGTTTGGTTATATTTTCAGTTTCGGATAAAATATAGCCTAGATCACTCCTGGTATTGCTTTTTATCTGTTTGCGATGGTCTATTAGAACTGGTTCAGCCAGTATATATATATATATATATATATATATATATATATATATATATATATATATATATATTACGAACAGGAACTTGTATTTTACTTATTTGTATTGCGACATGTTTGGTTTCCAGGTAGGTAGCGAAAAAAATTGGTATTTATTGTGTCACAAAATAGTGATAGTTGTCTTCGCTGGTAGCAGTTCGTCTTAGATAGTCTGGGCCATTTAGCGCGAGATCGCTGGTCAATCTTGGCTTAGATAGTGTGGCGGTCATCGACTGATGCCTTGCTATACACTCATTTTCGAGCTGTGTTTCAAACGTTACCACATTCCAGAGATAGAACTCCCGTACTGAAAATTCGATAGAAGTACGCTGGTAGTAGAACTCCAAGTAGGGGTTTCCACGAATTTTAAGTAATTGTTTCTAGGAAAGTAAAAGGAGTGGCTGGGAAATGTGGCAAGCATATTACCTATCTAGCTTTGAACAGTTTACCGATTGCATGAGGTTCAACAGATTATAATTAGTTTGGGTCGTACCGTACTAGCGATGAGTCATAACGAGTATTCGATAAATCGAAATAAGTGAATAGTTTTAGAATATTATATTATTATACCATAAATACGTAAACCGCTACAGTATAGATGTATGTTGCATAACAATCATTCCAATTTTTTCAACTGTAGTAACAGACGTCCTTCGATTTGCCGACGATATAGTCCTTATGACAGAATCGCTGGAGGACTTAAGCACACGCTCAATGACCTCAATAGTGCCTCCCAACGGATGGGTCTTAATATGAACATAGAAAAAACAAAGATCATGTTTAATGTCTATGTCACACCTATGCTGGTAGTTGTTGGGAGCACTAAGCACAAAGTTGTTGACAAGTACGTTTACCTGGGACAAACAGTCCAGCTAGGTAAGTCCAACTTCGACCGAGAGGTCATTCGACGGATTCAACTCTGTTGGGCAGCGTTCGAGAAATTACGACACATCTTCTCGTCAGGTATACCTCAAAACCTGAAAACTAAGTTGTACAACCAGTGCGTGTTGCCAGTGATGACATATGGAACTGAGATGTGGTCCTTCACTACTGGCCGTATGAGGACGCTCAAAGTCGCTCAGCGAGCTATGGAGAGGGCTATGCTCGGAGTTTATCCACGTGATAAACTTAAAAATGATCATATCCGCAGTAGAACCAGAGTGACCAACATAGCCCAACGGATTAGTAAGCTGAAGTGGCAATGGACCGGCCATATAGCTCGAAGAACCGACAACCGTTGGGGAAATAAGGTTCTCGAGTGGCAGCCTCGTACTGGTAGACGAAATGTATGGCGACCCCCCACTAGATGGAGTTACGACCTGGTAAGACATGCAAGAAGTCGATGGATGCAGGTGGCTCAGGACCGTGCTTTGTGGCATACCTTGGGGGGGGGGGCTATGTTCAGCAGTGGACTTGTAAAGGGCTGTAATGATGATGATGATGATGAACAAAGGTTCAACAGTTCGACTACAGCAGTTTATAAGACACAACTTTAAAGGAAGAAGGCTACAAATGATTAGTCACCTCTGAAAACAAAGATATATTACCTCACAGGCTGTAAATATACTGGCTCTCAATACACTTTAGACTGGAATACAGCATTGCAAGCACTGCCATTTAGTGGCAGATTTATGTAAATGGGTGATATAGAGCCAGACGACGGGAATCCTACTATCTAGTAAC